CAGAGGAGCAGGAAAGCTGACGTTTCGGGCCTAGACCCTTCTTCAGAAATGACCCTTCTGAAGAAGGGTCTAGGCCCGAAATGTCAGCCTTCCTGCTCCTCTGATGCTGCTTGGCCTGCTGTGTTCATCCAGCTCTACATCTTGTTATCTCAGATTGTCCAGCATCTGCAGTTCCTACTATCTCTGGATATCAGCCAATGGTGGAGCAGGCTCGAAGGGCTGAATGGCCTACACCCATGCAGCGATTCTCATGAGGTCAGCCAGCTGGACATGACAGAATATGAGTTCACTGATTGGGGCCGTTAATCTGGTCCGATCAGGGAGCCCTGGCTGACAGATATAAACAGGAGTGTCAGGGGTTCTGCTCACTCTAGGAGTTGGCTCTGAGCTAGCTGGGTCAGTGTCATGTTCAATGCACATGTAAATAAAAGGTGACCTGGTGACAGGATACCAGCCTGTGTGGAGTTATTTCACCTGGTCCTATTGTCGATGCTTCCTTTGAAGCAGATTGTGAACCACAACATTTCAGAAACGGCCTGGCAAAGCTTGAATATACATCATCAGTGCCTATCCCGGGAAACAGCACAGCCCCTGTATTGGTTACTGCGATCTGGAGGAAGTTTTGTGGGTAGGATCCCTACCTCTGGCCCAGTTGGTCTAGATTCAAGTCTTACCTCCGGACCTGATGATCATCGAAGCTGGGTCACAATGCAGCCACGTGGTTTGATTATTAAACCTGAAATCCTTCTAATGTGCTTATGTCGGGCAGTAAGATTGGCTGAGTTTCCTGGCCAGCCGAGAACCATTTAGTAGCTGCATCACAGTAGCCTCTCCTACATTAAAGGACTCCATGCTCTCCTTGTCCTGTGGGACTAACGCTAACATACCATAGCTCCTTATAGTCTGCAATTTTAACTGATTTTAAAATGTAACGCTTAAACAATATTACCTCTAAAGATTTTCTTCAGGATCAAAATGCGATCAATAAAACCTGAAGAATTATGATAATACTTTTGCAAACCGGTTTTTGTGGATTCACATTGTGTTTGTGTCATTTTCAACAGCTGTCCTAGCCATTACACTATCCTTTTATAGATATTGTCCTAACCAACCTGTTCAGAGATATTATTACAGACTTCCAAATAGGTTGGATTGATCTCAAATCTCCTGGTCCAGAGGCAAGGACGCTACCGTGCTTCAAGAGCTCTCATTATCCTTTTAAATAACTCAGGCATATTAAATATGTGTTCAGGACTAATATTGCCTTCTCTGCTCCTTTGCTCCACACTTAAGCAGTTCTTAGTATTGACCTTTCATGAGGTATCAAGAAGCATGTTTTTCAGTTGCATAGTCCATTTCAGAATTAAAACAAGTTGAATAATTATGGACAAAATGTGTCATAATTGTCGATTCTGTGGTCTTATGCACTCGCCCTCTCTGCCTCTTGCAGTTCTGAAGATGACTCAACATGCTAGCTCTGTTTCTCTTTCCACAGATGCTGCCAGACCTGCTGAGTTTCTCCAGTGTTCTCTGTATTTGTTTCAGATTCCCAGAGTCCGCAGGATTTTACAGTGTTTGCTTTGGCCTTGCTTACCAGTGTTTTGTTACCGTGACATTTAACACTCGGTGGAAAATGTGGCTCATGTGTTGAAGCAACCGTTTTAGTTCACATACATGAGACCCTGTCAGTACAGGAGAGGCACAGGCTGGATAAAGCAGAGTGACTGTAGGCAGCTTACCATCTCGAGACATTCCCACTGTCAAACACTTCTGTAACCGGCAGTGCTGACATCGATTCCTGCTTGTTCGGTCGATGAGGCAGTTCTTTTGCCGAGGGCAAGAGTATGTCGCATTGCTCTGTTGGCTTCTCCTAAAGAACCCCTTCAGTACAAATAAAATATTCACATCAGACACGATCTCACACTAAAATCCAGCCTCACCCTTCTTGATAAACTAAGCCCAGTTTCTACGCTTTGTTAGGTATAGTCATTACGACGAGACTATGAGACTACTAGGGGCGGCACAGTGGCTCAGTGGTTAGCACTGCTGCCTCACAGCAGTAGGGACCCATGTTCAATTCCACCCTCGGGTGACTGTCTGTGTGGAGTTTGCACATTCTCCCTGTGTCTGCGTGGGTTTCCTCCAGGTGCTCCAGTTTCCTCCCACAGTCCAAAGATGTGCATGTTGTGTGGATTGGCCATGCTAAATTGCCCCATCGTGTCCAGGGATGAGCAGGCTATTAGGGTTAGCCATGGGAAATGCAGGATTACAGGGATAGGGTAGGGGTGTGGGTCTGGGTAGGATGCTCTTTGGAGGGTTGGTGTAGACTCAATGGGCTGAATGGCCCACACAGTAGGGACTTTATGAGAACAGTCATTCAGAGAAAAGGCAATTCAACCCTTCAAAGCAGAACTGATCCTACTGGCAATTCTCCAATCATAATATCTATTTGAGAAGCTGTTCCCCCTTATAGGAGAGTCTCAGACCAGAGAGTATAATCTCAGAACAATAGGCTGCACACTGAAGACAGAGCACATGAGGTTGAATTTCTTTTCTCAGAGGGAGTGAATCTGTGGAATTCTTTACCAGAGAGGGCTATCGAGGTTGGGTCATTAAGTATATTCAAGGCTGAGAGAGACAGATTTTTTAATCAGGAAGGGATTCAAGGGTCATGAGGTAAACACAAGAAAGCGGAGTGGAGGGTTATCAGATCAACCATGATCTAATTGAATGGTGAGCAGACATGATGGGCTGAATGGTCTACTGCTGCCCCTATGTCTTATGGTCTTATTTCAGATTAATGCATCACCTTTTCTTGGTAAATTATCCCATACTGTTTTTTTTCGCTCATTAAACAAAGAACGCCACCAACAAACACATCTTCCCCTCACTCACCCGTCCGCATATTGCAGGGGTCATTCACTCCGGGACACTCTAGTCTATTCCACAACCACCAATACCACCCCCCCATCCCCTTCTCCACAGCACCTTCCCATGTAACCGCAGAAGGTGTAATATCTGCCCCTTCACCTCCTCCCTGCACATCATCCAAGGGCCTCTCCAGGTGAAGCAACATTTCACCTGTACCTGCTCCAATCTTGCGTATTGTATTTGCTGCACCTAATGTGGCCTTCTCTACATTGGAGAAACCAAACGCAGACTCAGTTACCGCTTTGCGGAACACGTCAGGTCCATGCACAAGCATGACCCTGCCTTTCCCATTGCTGGTCATTTTAACACAGTGCCCTGCTCACAGGCCCATTGGTCTGTCCTCAGCATGCTGCAGTGTTCCAGAGAATCACAGTGCAAACTGGAGGAACAACATCTCATCTTCAGACAAGGCACTTTACAGCTTTCTGGACTTAATATTGAGTTCAATACCTTCAAATTGTGAATCATTCCTTTCTTTCAGCTTGTTATCATGTCCTCCCCTCCCCCCACCTCAGCTACTGTCCTTTCAGGTCTGGCAGGTAGACACACCATTTTGCTGCCATTCTCACATTGCTATCACTTAATCTGAACTATCAACATCTTTTCTCCACCAGCACTCTACACCCAGCACCACCCCTCCAACTGCTGTCCCCTCCACACTTCACATCAGCTCTGATGAAGAGTCATCTCGACTCAAAACGTTAGCTTGCTGTCTCTCTATGGATGCTGCCTGACCTGCTGTGATCTGCAGCATTTGTTGTTTTCAGACAAAATATTCCCCACGTCAGTTTAAATTTATTTTCACTCAATTTCAATGTGGTTCAACTTAGAGTCATAGAGTTGTACAGCACAGAAACCGATCCTTCGGTCCATCTCGTCCATGCCGACCAGATATCCTAAATTAATCGAGTCCCATTTGCCAGCATTTGGCCCTTATCCCTCTAAACCCTTCCTATTCATTTATCCATCCAGATGCCTTTTAAATGCTGTAATTGTACCAGCCTCCACCACTTCCTCTGGCAGCTCATTCCATACACACACCACCCTCTGCGTGAAAAAGTTACCCCTCAGGTCCCTTTCAAATCTTTCCTCTCTCACCTTAAACCTATGCCCTCTAGTTTTGAACTCCCCTGTCCTGGGGAAAAGACCTTGGCTATTCACCCTATCTATGCCCCTCATGATTTTAAAAACTTCTATAACGTCATCCCTCAACCTCTGACACTCCAGGCAAAATAACCCCAGCCTATTCAGCCTCTCCCTATAGTTCAAACCCTCCAGCCCTGGGAACATCTTTGTAAAGACTTGTCTGAAGTAGTCTGAAATAATATGCAGTGTTCATCATATTGTCACCACTTAATGGCGTAGCTACTTCAAACATCATCATTCTTTTATTTGTGTGTGCAGTTAACAACCTAAGTTAATCTAACTTAATTTAGCCTAACTTTAAGCTAATATAATCTTGTGCTGAATCCACTCTCTCTATTGGAAAGCCTGAGCAGTTAACAATTTGCCATGGAGTTCTGCTGAAGATGAATCAACCTGAAATGTTAACTTGGTTTCTTGCTTGCCTGATCACTAACAAGTGATATGAAAGATGCAGCATGGATATCTGAAGCACCAGGTCACGTCTGACAAACTTAGTTTAATGTTTTGAGGAGGTTGCTAACATGGCGACAGGACAGAGTCTCTGAATGTTTGATACTTGGTCTATCACAAGGCGTTTAATCAAATTAGAACATAAGAATGAGGAACAGGAGTAGGCCATTCAGCCCCACTGCCATTTAATACAAGCATGGTTGATCTCACAACAGCCTCAACTCCACTTTCCTGTCCACTCTCCATAACTCATTAACCCATTACTAATCAAAAATCTGTCTAACTCCTTCTTAAGTTCATCCAGTGTACCAGCATCTGCTACACTCTGAATTCCACAGCTTCATGACCCTTTGATAGAAGTAATTCCTCCTGATCTCTGTTTAAATCTGTCATCCCCTTACCCTAAAACTATGACCCCGTTGTTCTAGATTACCCCACAAAGGGAAACATCCTCTTTACATCTACTTTGTCAATCCCCTTTAGTATTTTAATGTACTCAATTAGATCTCCTCTCATTCTTCAAAACTCCAAAGAGTATAGGCCTAAACTGCTCTATTTCTCCTCATGACCCAAGCCTTTCATCTCTGGAATTAATCTAGTGAACCTCCCCTGGACTGTATCCAATGCAATTACATCCTTCCTCAAGAAAGCATACAAAAAATGTCAAAAATAAAAATGCAAGTTCTTGTAGACAACCTTGCGACACAACTTAAGAGCTGAGAGAGGCAGAAGAGAGACAGTGATGATAAAAAGATTAGGCTCTGACTGATGGGGTACAGCAAGTTGCATTCCCTTGGGTTCTGTACAGGGGCCAAAACCTTGCACCTCTTTATCACTGATATGGACAAAGCATAGAGAGCAGTGCCTCCAACTATGAGGATGACACTGATGGACTACAACATATTGTGTGAATGAGAGTAGGATGTTACAAAGAACCACATACACACAAAGTTGGAGAACTTAATGTCCTCTGTCAAAGCAAGATGGTTAGGGTTAGAGTTAGGGTTATGGTTGGGGTTAGGGTTAGGTTAAGGGTTAGGGTTACAGTTAGGGTTAAGGTTAGAGTTTGTTTTAGGGTTTGGGTTAGGTTAGGATTAGAGTTAGGATAAGGGTTAGAGTTTTTTTTAGGGTTAGGTTAGGATTAGAGTCAGAGCTAGGGATAGGGTTAGAGTTTTAGAGTTCATTTTAGGTTAGGGTTAGGGTTAGGTTAGGATTAGAGTCAGGGTTAGGGTTAGGGTTAGAGTTAGAGTTTGTTTTAGGGTTAGGGTTAGGTTAGGATTAGAGTCAGGGTTAGGGTTAGGGTCAGAGTCAGGGTCAGAGTCAATCAAGCAGGACATGCCAGGTGGAGACCATGCCACCTACTGGCCTCTGCTTTGTTTACGATCTGACAGGAAAGGCTCATGGAAAGCCTGCTGCAAGTTAAAGCCCCAAGTAGGCAATTAGTACCCACTTAAGGGTCTCACCCCACCACAGGTTTGTAAAACACAAAGCTGCAGAATTTGCAATCATCTGCAGGCAAAAGTGCAGATGTATTTTGCCCTACTCTTGACATCTCTAACATCACAGATGCCAATTTGATTCATTCCACATGAGATGAAGGACCAACTGAAGACACTGGATATTGCAAAAGCGATGGGCACAGACAACATCCTGGATTACACGACTGAAAACTTGTGCTCTGGAACTGACAACACCTCGAACCAAAACATTCCTGTACAACAACAACAACATGGAAAAATACCCTGTCCTGTACACAATAAATAGGACAAATCGAATCCTGCAATTAACATCCCACCAGCCTTCTCTCGACCACCAGTGAAGTGATGGAAGGTTGTCATTGACAGTGCTATCAAGTAGCACTTATACACCAATAACCTGCTCACTAAACTCAAACTGCATTCTGTCAGGGCTGCTTCATTCCTGACCTCATTACAATTTTAGTCCAAATGAGTTCAAAAGTGCTGAACTCCAGAGGAGAGGCTACCCATCACTAAGAGTGGCATCAAAGAATCCTGGCAAAACTGAAATAAATGGAATATTGCTGTGTCCTAGGCTCAACCATCTTCAGTTGCTTCATCAATGACCTTCCGTCCATTATAAGGTCAGAAGAGATTGATTGCACAATCTACAGCATCATAACCAACCCCTTAACATTCACTGTCACTATTATTGCTGTGTCTCCCACTATCAACATCCTAGGGGTTACCATTGACCAGAATCTGAACTGGACTGTTTATCATGGAATCCCTGCAGTGTGGAAACAGGCCCTTCGGCCCAACAAGTCCACACTGACTCCCAGAGCATCCCACCCAGACCCATCCCCCTACAACTCACCTAACCTACACATCCCTGAA